AGCCGTAGACCTCTCTTGTCTATCGCCTGACGTGTCTGGCACATCTTCCTAGCGACAGAAAAATTAACCCAGTGACACCCCGTCACAACGTCTACATTAGAATGGTGACTCTCACCTGTAACTGCATAATAGAACGTAAACAAAAAAGCTTCACCCGCTTCGAGCTCAAGTAATAGGAGAAGGCACGTGCTGGCCGTCACGTCAATTGATAGAGCTGTTAATTGTTTCAGCGTGTTAAAGGCACAGTTCGCGATAAATATGGTTACTGAGATTTCCCTACAGAATGAATTTAAGGGCCCCACGTATAACACATTTGGCACTATCAGGTCGGTAAACGGGCTAGTTAGGAAGTTATAAAGACACAAAGATTGGCCCGTGTGTATCCCCGGACGAGTTTGACCAGCACTGTAGGGCTGTTCCGAAAACAAGGGAACCCATGTAGGAAGTTCAAACAACTTGTTATGTCAGCGACAGTGAAAGGCAGTTCTATACAGTTCTGGCATGATGTAGTCAGCTCTTTGCGCAATTGCAATAACTGAAATCTCGTCCGAATACCCCTTTCATGTTATTTCCGTCATGGCAATCTCGTCCATCCTCTATTTTCCCTACTTTTAAAGAGCCATATTTTCCTCGGAATCGGCGATTTTTCTCGCTTTCTTCACTGCCGATGATCTATTCCGAATCTATACTTCCGCTTTTTGAATAAAAACGGGTACCTCAAAATTATCGTAAACTGTGCCTTTTAACAGATGTCCTCATACTCTCATGATATTTGGGCCAAAGTAAAAAATTCTACGAAAGTTAGTCAACAAAAGCGAAATTGTAGAAATTTAGAAAAATGGGCCAGACCCATGTATGGCATGTGTAATTTCAATTGGTACCGGTTCATGTCCGGCTCAAGATACAGAAGGAATTGACATGAATTTCAATTTCTTTGCAACAGTAAGTTATGTGGTTGTGTACTTTTTGATCCAAAAATGAAATGCTCCTTCGAAATACTTCTTCTCTATTGCCAAGCAGAGTAGATGTTCAAAATAGTGCATACGAAATAGGATATGCTTCCTATAAAATGTCTGAAATACCGAACGGACAACAAGATTCAATTCGAGCGATCGTACAAGCTTAATTCGAAGTCAAAACACATATTCAAAAAATTAAGAGACTGTTGTAATTCTCAATCACAGAAGACTTCCGAATGCGTTTTCATATGAGAGCAGTGTCTCCGTGATTTTTCCAGAATAAAAAAAGCCCAATCCAACTTGCCCGTGGTTTCTTCTCTGTGGTGCGGAATGCCAAAAACATGCTCCAAATATTGGTGAGGGAGGTAAGTTAGAAGTTTTGGGAAGAGCTTGATCTGTACACTATGAAGACATATTGGGATCCACTGATTTTACGGATCACTTAAAGTAAGGGAGCTCTGAGAAAAAGAGGCAAAAATTGGCTTCCAATGGCCCATAAGGCTTATAAAGCCCAGTAATTTCTCGAAGTTCATTCTATACTTGCCACTATTTGACAGAACTTTTTTCGATGTGTATGTTTGGTTTGTGTTTGTGAGCTGTTTGGGTAGGCTAGTGGTGTTAGCTAGTAGTGGAGGCACGGCACTTTGGAGAGCGATAGGGAATTCGTCGGGATAGCGGAAGGGCTGTGTCAAAGACTGATAGCAAGTGATAAGACCCGATAATTGTGGCTGGGGAGCGTTGCTACTTCTAGAATTCAATGCATAAAAAGAGCTTCATTCTACAAATTTTGGATGACTTCTTTTGATTTTTCGTACGGACTGGAGCTTTGAGAATGATTATGTTGAGCTACCTTGGGTTACGCCACGAACCTTCACAAAGAAACCTGTTGGCTATCACTCCTTGAGTGAATCATTTCAGTGCACTTCGTCAAGTGGTCAACCTGTACGTTACTCTCGTGAGTGGTGTCATTCACTGAACGTGCCCTTCTTTCGCTTTTCGCCAATGATGAGGACAGCTGTGCAACTGGACAACACGGAAAGAGATGTTATCATGCAAATGCTTTGGGAAACAGAGGTCTGTGAAAAATTCTCAATTACTATTTTCACATAGCATGCGCATTGCGAAGTTTCTAGAGTTGATACAGCAACACCTGTCACGATCTCTCCTCTTATCAAGTCTTGGAAACCACTCGTGTTCTTCTTCTGACTTTTTTATCCCATTTGCCTTACCTGCGTATTGCCCATTAGGTCCCCTAAACGATACCGTCATCAACACCTAGCCTTAACTTTCTGATCTTTCACCTGGTATTGAAAATTCCTTGGCACAGAAAATTCCTGGAAAAGCTACATTTAAAAAATCTTCCAAACATTGCAAACAACGGAGAGCAACTTAGGACGTAGAGACCGCTGGATCAGTTACTCTCTCCGTACCAGTAGTCAAACATTGAGGGATGAGTACTGGAGCTACAAATCGCATACCCTGAAGGGAAGCATCTGGCCTACTCATTCAACCTCCACTACATGCTGTCCAGATTTTCCCAAGAACTTGCTTCTAATGTCGTTATAATGAACTGAATTCTCGATAAGGCTGTTGGTTTCGGTCTCATGCAGGCAAATCATCAGATTTTTGCCTAACTTATAGGACTTGATATTCGGTTGATAAGACTTGTTCATTAAACATTGTTTCAGTGCTACATTCGAGGAGAAGGAAAGTACGAACTTCAGCAACTTGCACGGTTTTTGGAATTGAAGCCGCTCTCAGGTAAGAACGAATGGGAGCGCAGCCATGGACTTGACGAAAGAGCCGATATGGAACTAGCTACAGCTGCTGCTGCCGATCTGACAGACAGATTAGGTTTAGATAATTGAAAATGGATGCATTTTGTGCTTCCTCAGTATTCAATCTATACAAGCTATGGTCACTAATATTTCGGAAATTTTTTGCAAATCCATGGGACTTATTCTGTTAAAGTCTTTTTTGAATAAAAATATGTGGAAAAAGTGCACCGGTGCTCGTTTTCATCCATTTCATAATAAATTATGTTCAGTTGCCTCACCTATTTCGTGAGACGTGATTGCCGACTTCCCTTCTTCACAGCAACTTGCCTCTGCACGTCATAATCGAATCCTGATCGACTATCAGGTAGAGAAAACACTACAATAAATTTAGTATATATAACCGAGCCATCAGATATCACCCTACCAGCTGAAGAACATCATGTTATAATCTTTACCAACGGGCCATCGCCACTGAGGGTTTTCCTTCATTGGAAGGTTTCTAGCCGGTTGGTGACATGCGTAGCGCAACCTTGAGTGGCGGATAGAGGAGTAAACCGTGGACCAGAAGTGACTGGTACTTGCCAGGTGGAATCAGTGCATGCGCTCCCTTTTTCTGCTCTACTGGGCCGGTATAGGTGTTTCCATGCATACGTGCTCCCATCTGCATTTGGTCCGTCAATTATCCCTTGCGCATTTGGACTCTCTAGGTAGAGGGGGACAGGAGCCATGAACCTCCGGTCACAACACCCACCATCATATACAAACCTACCAACCCAACAGTGCACACTAAGCGGTGGAGAAACCTTCAACGAAGGTTCCCTTTATGGTGATCCTTCCGCGAACTGTCAGCACAGCTCATTGATGGGTATCACAAAGCAGTCGATAGGAGAAATTACCCTTAACCAGTGTCCCACTTACTGTCCGAAGTGATGCTGGTTATCAATCACTGAAGTAGGTGTTTCACTATTGATGTCACTATTGATGTGCCGATACCTGGGAGATTCCCAAAGTCAGACTCATCCGAGACAACGACTTTGTTGTCAGCAGATTCAAAACTGTTTCTTATCCTAGCCAGGAAATGGAAAGTTAGCTACAAGAACGCTGCAATGCCCATGAAGTGAGACCCTGGACTCCAGTAGAACCTTGGTATATAAGCTGCTGCATGCATCCGGTCTGAAGCCAACAGATGACAAACCTACAATCGATTCCTACAAGTAATACTTCACCGTATTCTACAACAATTCTTCCTGGCTCAGAAATAATGACCTTCCCTAGTATTAGGTTGAGTAAAAAGTTTTGATCGG